AGAACCTGTTTTAAAAAAGGACTTAATAGATAATATCACTCTTAACATGTGAAAAATGTTTGAATACTGTACCTTGTTAAGCCAGTGAACCTTCTCTACATCAGAGAATTGCACCTTTGGGGGAAAAGCATTAAAGTTAAAATCTTGATGCATGCTCAATCATCCAGGTAAGTAAATCTCCAAAAGTTGATTCTGTTCATCTGGACGAAGCGTTTTGTGGGAGAAACGTTTCGTCACTCATCCAAGTGAAACGTTTCCCTCACAAAACGCTTCGCCCAGATGAACAGAATCAACTTTTGGACATTAAAGTTAAAAGTTGACGTGTCACAGTGTCATGCATGACGGCGTTGGTGGAAGATGAAGAGATGTGATGATTAAAAACCTCCCTCAGAAGTTTAGGCTGTAACAGAAAAACAGAACATACCCAGGATGCCATCGGTAAGGCACTTCTCAGCTCGGTTTTGATCGCGCGTTTTTCATTGTCCACTAAGTCGATGGCTGATGTGATCCGCGCGACTTTCCATTGGCGATTTTTCTTCCAGTAGGTGAGCATAAACACGCACAGCAACACCCAGCTGATGTTGATGCCCAGATAGCCTAGCAGATACACAGGGTAGCAGATGAACACCGCTCTCCCGCAGTACATCACGAACTCTATTATTACGTGGTTAACAGTCGAGGAGCTCAGCCTGTCCGTGCACTGGATGCTTTCGGACGGTTTTTGTGCCATCGGGTCAGACACGGTCTGAGGACCTGGTTCAGAAAACGCACTTATTGTATGATCAGTGGGCGAACAACTTTCTGTGTAGCGTATTTCATTTCATTTTCATTTGAAAAGTAGACAAACCAGTCCTCCACACTTACCTCGCGCTCATAGTAGTCCTAAACCTTTTCCGTGTTTTTTTTAAAAACAAAATTAAATATGCAGGATAAAATGACGGAAATAAATCCAGACCTGGAACTTAGATTTTCACGCTGTATGCCTATTCTGCACCGGGAGGTGCTGTGTAAGTCAGTGCCAAAACACCCCGAACCATATTGTTGATGTTGTAACTACACAGTAACGTCATCAGGGCACGAGTGCACAATCACACGCACGTTGTTGCACTTTTGATTCCTTACTGGCACCTACTGTGTCAGTAGTGCGCTTCAAGTCAGGACTTTCCACGCACACGGAGATGTGCTTATAAGGTGTCGGTTCTCTTTGGATCTTAAAATTCCTCAGTGATGAAGTTTAACAAATGCAGATACAGATCCTCTCTTACTGAACCCGGCTTTATTGCGCTCGTTTAAGTCCCAAACAGACCGCATTTCTCTCCATGGACAAGAAAAAAAAGGAACGGAGAAATAGCAGATGACGTAATTAACAACAAGGAAACTTCATATATATTTTTTGTTACCAATTCTCATCTTTCTTTTATCATTATTTCAATTCATGTTTTCATTAATATCTTTATTTAGCTTCATTTGATTTTTTGTTGTCTTTTTCTTAGTATTATCATTACCATCAGTAGTGGTACAAATAGCACTGGCGGTGGTATTATTACTTATATTGTTATTATTACCAATATTTTTAATACTATTATTGTTATTATTATTATTTAATGATGACTCACCTAACCACATAATGTAGATCCCCATATCCACGCAGTGGGTTCAACCACATGAAACTCACACCCAGTTTTAATTGAATGCAAACTCTGCAAATATGTACAAATGTTTGTTTGTTTGTTTGTGTTCTACTCTTTTTCACTGTATTCTTTTTCTCTTGTTTGTGTCAGTGCACATTTTCTTCATAGTTGTTTTTGGCAATGCT